GCCCCCCCCCCTCAGAACTCGAGAACGGTATATCGTAGGAGCACCAAATTTTTAGAGGATGATGTACTAGTAAAAATTTATCATACGTACAATTTTTATGTCGTTGTGACGTAGTATGACGTCATTATGACGTCATTAATGTGATTTTATTGGCCAAAACCGTCTAGATAGGTTATTCCCTGAAAACTAAACAGTATACGATAGAACTTTACCAAAAGTGTTTATGACAGAATATTAGGATGTACTAAGTCTTATGTTGCCCATAGCAACACCGGTGACAATGACGTCATGCATATATTACATATCCGCCATCTTGGATCATCAATCTTGAATTTTGAAAAATATTTTTTTTTCAGGATGAAGCCTAAAATACATTGTAAACAGACTAAAGACATTCATATGAACCTTTTTTGTAAAAAAAAAATGGAGTATTGATGAAATTTTAAGGAAAATAAGCTGCATTTACCTGATCTAATGATATGGTCCGCCATCTTGGATTTTGGCCAATGACGTCATCAAATTAGCATAAATTATGAATATTTAATGATAAAATTTACATATAATTATATGTGATGTTATTAATGTTAGAAACAATGTGTAACTTGACATAAAACCCATAAAATTCTGTAGTTTAAATGGAAATAATTAAATTTGGCAAAAAATGCCTGTCAGAAACCCGTTGCCATGGCAACAAGAAAAATCATAATCTTATTACACTGATACAGATTTGTTGCCAACAATATTTTAGGAAAAGTCACTAAATTTGGCGGTTCTAGCTTTAGCCGTTTAGACGCTAGGTGACATCAAAGTTGCCGCGGGCACTTTAAGCCCCCCCCCCCGGTCTAGATAGTGTTAATACTAGTAAGTTGATGTTTTTTTGTGTTGCCATGGCAACGGGTTTCTAGCAGGCAGTTTTTTTGAAAATAGAAGTAATTTTGGTTTAAACATTAAAATTTTCTGAGTTTTATATTAAATTACACTTCTTTTTCAACATTAATAACATCTTACATAATTAGATATAAGTTAAATCATTTAATATGCATAGAATATGCTAATTTCATGACGTCATTGGTCGAAATCCAATATGGCGGACTATATTATTAGCTCTGACGTCATATGACGTGATAATTACACCAAAGTTATTAAAATTTAATTCTATTACTACACCATTCTCTGAAAACTTGGTAGACATACGATGAGTGCACAAAAACATATAAAAACGGAAATAAGGTAATGTATAAGAACGCCAGTGTATCCATTATGATCGAAAGCCGGCTGGGGTCCGCGCGGACCCCAAAAGAAAATCAGATATAATTTTTTTTTATAAACGGTAGAAACGGAGTTTTCTGCACTGTACTGAGAGACAACTTTGTGGGTGACAATTACCTAAAATTTCAGAAAAAAATCAAAAAAAGATATTACAGAATATATAGTGCTGGGGTCCGCGCGGACCCCAGGTGTACTGTTTAGGGTTAAAGCTGCCTATAAGTCATGTCATACCTGTTTCACCACATGCACATTTCCCACTCCCAGGACTGGCACCTCCCCAGTAGTCAGCCTGGCGACCGTCCCAAGTCATCCACCAGGCATATGCTGTGCCACTCGTGACCCACATCGTTGATCCATAGCATTGATACTGGGAATGCATATTAAATCATTACCTCCATATGATGGCATATCACAATTAATGCAACGTCATATTTTACCAAAATATGCATTGTCTTATGTGGGGTATTGTAACATATTACTTCTAGCCCTGCTCAGCTACTGACTCCAACAAATTTTTTTTGGTAGAGTTGAAAAAGTTAAACTCAGGCTAAACTTTTGTATGTCTAAAGTTATAAATAAGAATTTATACCTCCATGAAATATATGGAGTTCATGTAATTTTTTTTAATTAATTTTTTTATCAATTACAAATATGAGGTGGTAATCAACAACATAATTAAAATTACACTATTCTTCCTCCAGACTTCCTATGCTTTGGCAATGTTTAATGTCTACATGTCCTGAATATTTATGCAATTGCATCTTTATTAACATAATTTATGCATAATGATGTTTCAGTAACTAACTCTTCACAATATATAAAATTACGAAGTCACAGAATTTTACATTAATTATGCAAATCATGGTAATACTCACATAATTGCTATCTACCGATGCTCTACCTGCCATATAGATAACACATATTAAGTGTACGAAAATGCAATTATGTAAAACAATGCAATTATAAAACCTCCTCTTAAATTCTGAGATGTCTTCATTTGCATAATTTTTATGTAATTGTGTACATCTTTCCATTGGCTGCCGACATGAATTTAAAAAAAAATACGATGTTTCTTTCTGGGATTATCCGCTTTAAAAGATTTCACCAGGACCTCCCCTGCAGTTCCAGAACGAGCTGCCAGGGGGCCAAAACCTACACCACCAATTCCTGAAAAGCTATCTGTCACCAAAAATCGCAGACCATAGCATGTACAGGACAAAAGATACAGAAACCGAAATTTCTGCTGCAGTTCCATGATGAGCCGCGGGGAGGCCGCTATTAGACCTTGACCTACGATATATCAAAATACCAAATATCATGCTGACTACAATTGTGCGGAAACACACACACACACACACACACACACACACACATGGACACACCAAAAACAAGACCCACATTTTCTATTGAGGTAACAAAGCGTACCTTGAGGTAATTAGGGTAATTGCTAAAATCGCAATGAAGAGTTTAAACATAAGATGGCAGTTATTGTTTGTTAAACATCACCTCTCTACTTTTTTAGTCTTTTCTTTTTCTTCATCGTTTTATTATTATCATTACTACTATTACTTGTTTTAGTATTTTCCTTCTGATTATTATTTTTATGATGATGATGATGATGACTATTATTATTATTATTATTATTATTATTATTATTATTATTATTATTATTATTATTATTATTATTATTATTATACTAATTATTATTTTTATTCTTATTTTTATTCTTATTTTTATTATTTTTTTTAGTTTTATCGAAACAGAGTACAAACCTCAGTGCTGTTTGAAAACACTGATTTTCAGGAATCCCCGGTGATCCAGGAATCCCCGACACATTAAAGAATACATAAAGTTAAAAAAGCAACCAAGCGTCAAACCAAAATCATTTACCGTAAATAAATGTCGTTAAGCCAGGCCAAGGTCAGGAGGTCAGAGGTCAGCAGTGTTTTTTTGAGAACCTTTTTAAACGACAGGTAAGACGTGGCCACTCTAACTGTGGCAGGTAGGCCGTTCCAGGCAAATGCTGCCCTATACGCAAAATTTCTTCATGATCTTCTGAACACTCGTGTTTATTTACTAACCTGTTTGTCCCTCAAGGTCACACCGAACCTCCATTGGTTCCACCCCGCGTCCTGGCCCGTCAAGGTCGATAGTGTAGACGTTCTGGTTATTAAATCCACTTCTTTCTACTATATGGGCGCAGTTTGACGATGTGTTGGATGTTTCTGTTTAAGTAAATAAACAGTAAGTAGAGTCCCTTTACACCTCTTGCATATACACGGCGGTTAATTTCTAGGGTAAAGTTTTTAATTCTACGGAGGTGTATTAGGTTACTGGGGTTCCACGCGCGGCTTCCGTGGAGCCAGTCTCAACGGTAAAATATTTTTTTTAATAATAAACAGTTTCACGGGGACTCTCTTGTCCAAGTGTGATGAAATCAGCACTGCATATACCTCAAATGTTGTCGTTTTTATTACAATGCTTAAATGTGTGTGAAATCACTCTCAACGCGTCGAATGCTAATTCTAGAACAATCAACGTCAATAACCAAACAACTGATTTAAACCGACCCCAAATCATCCAGAAAGTCCAATATTTTTGCATATTACAGAACAGTATAACAAATATATACAGATATATTACTTACAAACTTAAATGTACTACTTACAAACTTAATTCACGTCTTTCTTTTATTGCAAGAAAAGGGGCTTATAATAATGCCTTGCATATTAAAATCACATGATTGACGTCAGAATACGTCATAATAATATAAAATATCGGTTATGATTAATTATTACTAGTGCATCATCCTTTAAAATTTGGTGTTCATACGATGAACCATTTTTAATTTCTGAGGGGGGTGGGTGAATGAGCCCCCCCCAACACCCCCCACCCCACCACACGAATCCCAAAAAAGCCCAGTCTAGTTAGGATTTAGTTGTTTATAATTATTTGTTTATTTATTATTTGCACATATAAAAAGTTACATAGTCAAATAATAACAATAAGAGAATATGCGGGGTAGGCCAGGAACCTAGGTGGTCTTTTTAAGGGCCTACCCCAAACAAAGGTAACTATGATACATGACAAAGCAGATTTGAATTAAACATCAAAACTAAACAATGAAATAATTGATTATTTAAACAAAACCAATACATAGAAATGATAACTGAATGGTGTAAACTAGTTTTTACATCTACGAAAAGAAATTATTACAACAAAGTCTTATACATGTAATTCAGGTCGCTGTTACAGAAATAAACTGATTAGATAATTAACATAACATTAACGATTGGGTTAGTCACCTCTAGTTCTCCATTTGACTCACCTTGTTGTCCGTTTGACTCTCCTGATTGGTTAATCACCGTGCTGATGATTTGTGCCATCAGCTCTGCTGTAATAGAGGTAGCTGCACATGTACCGCAGGTCGCGTTCTCTCTCACATCCACGCGCTGTTGGGCTGCACCGACCGTCATATTCTCCAAGCTTTCCATTCTCAAGACGATCGAATTCACCATTTCTCGCACCTCTGAGCTTTCGTTGTTGGTATTTAGGGTCGCCTCCAGTGTTTCCCATCTTTCCTGGCTCGCCTTGAACATTCTCTCAAGGGTGTTGACTCGACTCTCAAGGGCAGGTATTCGCTTTACAAGGGCAGCCAACACGCCTGTAAGAATAGAAACAATGAATTATACACAAATATATGGAAAAGGACAGAGAGTGTGTCTCTGTGTGTGCTTGTGTGTGTGTGTGTGTGTGTGTGTGTGTGTGTGTGTGTGTGTGTGTGTGTGTGTGTGTGTGTGTGTGTGTGTGTGTGTGTGTGTGTGTGTGTGTGTGTCCGTGTGCGTGTGTGTGTCTGTGTGTGTCTGTGTTTTGCGTGTGTGTGTGTGTGTCTGTGTTTTGCGTGTGTGTGTGTGTCTGTGTTTTTGTTTGTTTGTGTGTCTGTGTGTGTGTGTGTTTGTTTGTGTGTGTGTTTGTGTGTGTGTGTCTCTGTGTCTGTATGTGTGTGTTTGTGCGTGTGTTTGTGTGTGTGTTTCTCTGTGTATGCAATTCTATGTCGACAGACACAATTAATTTTTAAAAAATACAAATATAATTTTTAAGCAATAAAAATTGACAAATTTACAACAAAAATGTCTAGCAGCAAAAAAAAAAATGACCCGACATACCTTTAAAAGCCGTTATTGTCTCTCGCATGTTATTCAGGTTGTTCTCAAGTTCGAGTCCAACATTGAAGTTTCCTACACATTGGTTTTGACATAGAAACGGATCAGGACATGTCTTGGTTTTGTTCAATAGTCCAAGATGGAATTAATCAATCCTTTACTAAATCTACGATGCAAAGAATATGCTTTGCTGTTCTGTATCTGTATCGATATATCCGGTATAACCGCCCTTCGGCGTAACAAACCTGCTTCGCAGGCACGCGGCGCGGCGGCAGCTAGTTATATCACACCGAGCGACTTGTTACACTCAATCTTTGCACATGTGATTGCAGGAGTTGTTTAAAGCTTTCTAGTGATGATGCCCCAACTGTGCTTGGTGGCAACGATTTCCAGTCTACGATAGTTCTGGGGAAATACGAGTTTTTGAACACCTCTATCCTTGGTTGATAACTCTGATATTTGAAGGCATGACTGTTTCTTGTTTTTTTCTGGGCTGGTATCAGATACTTAGTGGTTGGTACGTCCACAAGTTTATAAGTCATTTTGTACATCATGCACAGTCTGGACATTCTACGTCTCTTCCAGCAACCCCTACTGTAGGTTTCTTTTCATTTTCTTTACACTAGCGCCCATTTGATAGTTATTTATACAGAATCTTGCAGCTTGGTTCTGTACCCTTTCCAGTTTTTCTTTGTCTTCCTTTGTATATGGTTCACGTTTGGCAAATAGATTATGTCCGCCTTAAACCTCCAATAAACGCCTTTTTAAACTTTCGGAGTCTCACATGCCTAATAAACCATAATATATTGTGAATAGGAAGGTTTAAGCACACTTTTGCGATGTATGCTCTAAGTTGCTTAGTTATAATAATATAATCCGCACTTAAGCAAAAATATGGCATCTCTTTCTTTATTATGCAAATTTTCACTCAATGTACATAACTGACCTCTTTTATACACAGTTATGCTATTTTACTCTGAGATACTTATAAATAATTCTAAAAATGCTAATACATTTTTTTTCAGTTGTCGATGTCATTTATTATATTCTTTTTACAAATAATCCTTGCAATTACAAATAAATCGCATATTTAGAAATTGTTTACTAGTATTTGAGTACTCTAAAAATAGTACTTTAAAATTTGCATAACGGTTCCGTTTAGGTAAAGTATTATTCATGCGTGCTTATATATCACTTAAAGTTTGAGATTACCTTCTGATTCAGGTTCAGGTGATGCAGACAACACTCCGGTCTGGTCTCTCAGAAGACAGACAAGACACGTCATCATCACCATGGTTACGGTACATTTTCCCGCCATTCTATATCAGACGAAGTGCGACGGTGACATATTGTTATTGCAACACATATATCAAAATATTTTATATTCCGCTCTTTACTTGAAATAAAGGGAGAATGAATTCATTATTGCGTATTTTCTTTGCTCCGTTTCTCTTTTTTGTAAAGTAGAATCGTCACAATTCAAATAAATTACGCAGGAATTATTTACGTATAACGTCACTTTTTTGGCCAGGGTGGCTCAAAAAGTATCTAATTCAACGTTACGACTGCTTTTATGCCAGGGCACGGTACACTAGAATTTTTCTTCTCCTTTTTTAATCTAACAAAACAATTAAACAGTACAAAAAAAAAGCTGCCGGATTAGTTACAAATTTGCAGTACGCGTACGATAGCACCACCGAACTTGTTTCTGACCTAGCTTGAGATAGATAAAAAAATAAAAAAGAATAGCAAGCAGACTCAAGATATTACAAGGCAACAAAAAGTAGCGCTACAGGTCGAAATTTCTCAGCTTATACCTAAACCGTGCGCCAATCGTGACACTCCAACCCAAATTCCTACAAGGCTCTATCTTTTAATAAAGACTGCTGCAGATACTCATTTTTTTTCAGAAAGTCAGAGACGGGAAAGCACTTCCTCGGGATACAAAAAAAAAAGAACCCATGGACATCGCCGAGAAACTCGCCTATCTACATCCCAACACAGTGAGGTCTTTGAACCTGTCAAGCCGTCATCCTCCTGCCACAGAAGAACATTCATCCCTGCTACAGTCAAGCCGTGGAACTGTCTCCCACAGGACATTGTCAACACCAGGGACCTTCCGAACTTCAAACGTAAAATTAACGCCTACCTCAGCGACACTCGTCAACGACCTGTGTAGCAAACGTTATTTCGGTACAGCTGCTAAGCTGAGGACTTGGTGACAGCATAGAAAAAAACTAAAAACTTCTGAAATCCGTATTCCTGCATCTGAGAAAACAATAACGACGCGGCGCACTTATATCCCCTTGTGCGTCTTACCCTAGCGGAGGAGTGTGCACAGTATTTTATCAAGGTCAAGAAACAAACCTAACGGTGCTCTTTTTAAGTGACAACCTGGTACAAAACTACGACGTATGTATGTTTTCCTTCCCCTTAGATATCGTAACACAAAATTAGAAATATACAATAAATGGTACTAATCCATAAGAAAGTAAATCCGTACTTAGATTTAGATACAAAAAAAAATGCAAACCTTACGGGACGGTAGAAAAGCTTGTCGATGTACCTACTCAACTTGGATGTTTGTTTGTGCTAGCTCAAAATAATTTTGTTACAAACTATTCACTATTCAAACAGCATAACAAAAGCTAATGGCGACCAAGGACGTTCTCATGTGAATGGGAAAACATTCCGATTCCCATTAACTTAGTTACTTCATCTACCATGCTTTACAACTCAAAAGAAAATGTGGGAAAACAACATAAAACTTCAATCTTAACCTGACCCACGACAATTAGGCAGCTATAAAGAACCTGCTTTTCGTGCTTTAAAAGTCATAATTGGTTCAACTAACTTTATTCTGCCTCATTTAAAAAGTTAATGGCAGTGCTCTCGAATAAAAAGAGCTTCTCTTTATAGCTAATCTATAATGA